TGAGGGTTTTAGAATTTGCCGCGGGATAGGGCTTTGCAAACTCATTTCGGTGCGATGATGGCGCAGTAACCGGCGGTCCTATGAGGAGAAAAAATAAATAAATTGGGTATTTTGTTTTTTAAAACTCTTTGCAAACAAGATGCCTCGTTCTGGGGAAAAGTTTTTCCTCGACATAGCTTATTTGCTCGTGTAAAAGGAAGCTATAAGTGGTCGGATATCTACAAACTCTCGTTGCAATTTTTTTAAATTGAGTAATCCGTGCCGGTCCTGGTCTCCACTGCGAGGGCACTCAGGCGGCAGTCACGGGAGATGACTTAACGTACCTGTTGGGTTGGACGACGTCTGCTCGGGGGGAATGGGGGGGGGGGGGGCAAGCTCCCCGGGTAGTTCAATGTTCCATTTGGCGATGGTGACGGATGCCTCGCTATTGTGCACTCTCCGCCAGCAGAGCCAGCATCTTGGCGGGGTGCTAGAAGCCGCACCAGCGCTCCCAAGTCAGGCGCGTGGCCTACCCTCGGCCCCGCAGGCGCCCGGCGCGGCACGTGGCATAGCAGCAAGCCATGAAAAAAAAACAACACATCGGAGACGGACGAGTTGAAGAGGGAGAGGAAACGCAATGTTTGTGGGGGGAAAAGCGTTAATATTTGTGACCTTCTTTGTTTATGCCAAAGGAGCAGAAAGCGATCTGGGAGAGAACCTAAAACCAGTGAACCGTTCAGGAAAATACGAGGAAATATACATAATTCCCCATAATCTTGATTTTCTTGTTTAGGGTGGGGTGGGCTGGCAGCGATTCTCCGTGTTCCGACGGAAATGGTATGATAAATTCGTTTAGAATTGGCTTTCTTTTTCTACTCAACGAGCCATTCGACCGAGCATACGACCCACGCACGTCGATCAGACACCCCGCTAACCGATCAATAATGGAATTATATTAAGGCTCCAACGAATGGAATAAATAAATAAATAAGGGTGGTGGGCATGAGGGAAGAGGGATGGAGAGGCATCACGCCATCTCTTTCTCTCTCGCTCTCAACTCCAACTCTCTCACTCTTGTGCATAATCCCACGGCTACGTCACTGACGAGACGAATGGGGGTGATTTGACGGGATGTAGCGGCCCCCGGCTGCGCGGGCGAATCGAATTGGGGAAGAGGAGAGAGGTAGAGGGGGAGGGAGGGAGAGAGTGAGCGTGAGAGAGAGAGAGAGAGAGAGAGAG